ACTGACAAGTGCAGGGTAATGCACCTGGGGAGGAGGGAACCAGCAGCATACCCACAGGCTGGGGTACTCCCTTCTCTCCAGTGTCGAGACAGAAAAAGATCTTGGAGTCATCATTGATGCCACAATGAACATGAGCCGACAAAGTGGGGACGCGGTCAGGAAGGCCAACCTCACCTTGTTGTGCATCCACAGATCCATCTCAAGCAGGTTCAAGGAGGTGATCCTCCCCGTCTGTGCGGCATTGGTCAGGTGGAAGTTGGAGTACTGCGTCCAGTTCTGGGCACCACACTTCAGGAGGGATGTGGCCAATATGGAGAGGGTCCAGAGGAGGGCCACCCGCATGATCAGGGGTCAGCAGGGCAGGCCCTATGAGGAGAGGCTGAGGGACCTGACCCTGTTCAGCCTCCAAAAGAGAAGGCTGTGAGGGGATCTAGTGGCAGTCTACAAACTAGTTAAGGGGAACCAGCAGGCATTGGGAGAGTCCTTTTCCCCCCAAGCACTCCTGGGAGTTACAAGAAACAATGGACTCAAGCTAGTGGAGGGTAGTTTCAGGCTAGACATCAGGAGGCGCTATTTCACAGTCAGGGCGGCTAGGATCTGGAACCAACTTCCAAGGGAAGTGGTGCTGGCTCCTACCCTGGGGGTCTTTAAAAAAAGGCTGGATGAACATCTGGCCGGGGTCGTTTGACCCCAGTACGCTTTCCTGCCACGGCAGGGGGTCGGACTAGATGATCTCCTCAGGTCCCTTCTGATCCAACCAACTATGAAACTTGTTGGCAAAAAAGGAAATTCAAACATGTGGCAGCTGAAATGATCTTTTTCTTGGGATTTCAATGACTGGTTTCTTAAGTAATAAATTTGTGAAAATTTGCTCTATGTTATCCTGTTTGTAAGTCTGTTGTCTGATGAATAAGATAAAATCTTGGGTAGATTGGTTGGGGTCATTGATAGATTCCCCGTCTCCCAGGGGTTCTTCATTCCATCTTCCTAGATCCTAAATTTAACAGGGGCCCTGATTTCCCTTTGGGGCCCAATCTTCTGACTTGGGATTCTGACTTCTATCTGCCTGGTTCTAGGGAACTCCAGCTCCACCCTCAGGTCTTACCCTCGAGCCTGGCTTGCCTACCCTGGCTCCTGATATGTCAGCCCAGCTCCACTCATTAGAGGTGTGAAGTCCATGTGGCTTGATGGACCCAAGATCTTCTGGAGATTCACAACTCCATCAGAAGCTAAACAAAGACAAAGCCATAGACTTAGTGTCACTATGGAGCTCCTTTCTCCCTCCGCCCTTTGGGCCTGATGTTCTCATGTGTTTGCTCTTCTGGGTAGGGCTGGTGATGATTCATAAGTCCAGCCTATGCCCAGGGACATCCCCTGGCTCAGTGGATGTAGAGTCTATTAGCAGAGGAGGCCTCTTAGCAGCAGGGGCGTGCCAGTCTCTTCTCTCTCCCTGGCTATCTCTGGAGCTATGTAGGTCACTCTTGTCTCTGCATTCTCTCTGCTCTCCTGGTCACACTTGTGGCTGGACAAGAGGCATCAGGTCACTTTGCTTGTGGGGGTGGCCCCCTAGAGAAAAAAATCCCCTTCTCTACCCCATCTCTTGGCCTCTATAAGGCTGTGGGATGGGCTGGTTCCCTGTCCCACTCCAGCTGCTATGCCTCTGGGCTGGGGTGGGATTTGGGGAGAGGGTCATGGAGATCTGAATGCACCCAGGGAGGTCCCTGTGGATCACAGGTGGAAAAGGGCTAAAGGGGACATTGGGATGGGTTACCTCTGTGTCCAACCCGATGTAGTGTTCATCTGCCTCTCCCCCATGTGTGTCTGTGCGTGTTTCTGACTCATGTACCTCCCTACCCCTCTTCACCCTACATGTCCCTTTTGTCCACTTCCATGTTCCCCATAACTCCTCCCCCCGCCCCTCCCCGTGGGCTTCTGTCTGGCCCTATCTCTCTACTCTGGCACCCTCTACTCCTATTTATCTTCTATTCCCTCACCCCAATCCTATCCCTCCATCTGTTTTACTATCCTCATGTATCCCCTAATCCCATGCTCCTTATTTATCTCTCTCTCCCAGTAGTTCCTTATCTCCTAGTCAGCATCCAGTGTGTGGATCAGTTTCCCCTGCAAGCAGGGGAGATCCTGGGCCTGGTAGGAGCCCAGCCCTGCTTTCTGCATAGAGCAGTCAACACTGTCCTGGTGTCCTGGAAAGCGGAGCTGTTTGTGGCTGCCTGAGAGCATCTGCCCTTGAAAAGCTTCCAGCCAGAGCTTCAGGAAATGGAGCAAAACCAAACCACCTCAGCTACACTGGAAGGAATGAGGCCAGATTTCCCACAGGTTTCTGTCATCTTTCTCTAAGCCAGATTTTCTCAATTCAAATAAGCAGATCCAGCTTTCTTGATGTTCTGACGCAGTCATTTGCAACAAGGAAATTATTATTTTTTTAAACTTTGTTTTGCCTTTCAAAAAAAATGGGTGTTGGGTCATTGTATTCAGGAAAATATGGTATTTTTCATAGTCAAGGAACAAGTTAAAGGAAAGAGCTGGCATTTTCCGAGGGGGCACATTGGGTGTAAGGAGGGAAGCCGCTGGGGTTTAAAATTATTGAGAACCACTGCATCAAAGCACTATGGGATACAAGAAGGGTGCAAGTCTCGGGAGGTGTGTCCCATCTCTAGGAAGTACCATAATTTATGAGAGTGCAATGGTCCAGGGACAACTGCTCTGGGAAGATGGTCACATGCCAGGGGTGCTGTGGGACCACTATCACAGACCAATGTTGGTGAGTGTGTGAGAAGGGGGGATGGACTAGATATGACCTTGTAAGGTCCTTTCCAGCCCTAGTTCTTTATAATCCTGTGGTGGATAGATGCATGGTCTGAGCTGGAAGGGAGGGTCGGATGGATGGATGGATGGATGGATGGTATGGGGCTGGGTCAAATGATGTGTGGTTTTTATGGGGTTGGGTGACTGGATGTACAATGGATAAATGCATGGATGGATTGTGTGCAGTTTGAGATAGAGATACCAGGATTTGTTTGGGGCTCAGCAAATAGACAGATGGGTGAATGGTTGCTAGGGGGAAGGGGAGAGGGAGGACTGGTTGATATGGCATTGGTAGGAGGAAGGGGCAGGTGGATGAAGAATAGATGGATTGGTGGAATTGATTGGTATGGAGATGCATGAGTGGATAGATGGACAGATGGAGATGAAGTGCCCTTGGGGGTGGAGAGGTAGAGATAGGGATGGATAGACTGGACGATGGATGGGTGGACTGATTGACATAAAGTCTGGAGTTGGATGAAGGGGTCTGAATCAGAGGGTGGATGGATGCCAGGGAGTAGCCTGGGGAGGCACAGATGGAGGAATTGACCTGGGATTAGGTATTCATGGGGAGAGATTTCCATGGAACTGAGTAGGTGGATGGAGGTTGGATGGAGGTTGAGTACCGGGATTGGAGAGGTGTACATAGAGCTGGATGGAGAGCAAGGTGCTGATAGGCAGGCATGTTAAAAGGTAGATGGATGGACAGAGGATGGAGATAGAAGGATGGATGGAGAGAGGGGTTCACATAGATGGATGGAGGTGTGTAGCTAGAGAGGGTTAGTTCTGGATGGATGGACGTACAGATGGACAGACATGCCTGAGCACAGACAGGCAGGTGGTCCCTTGGGGGTGGTGACAAAGGCCTCTCCATTGTCTCTCTTCCTGCAGCCCTAGAGGAAGTAAAAGGCATGAGAGTCATGAATTCATGTTTCTTTGCCCAGCACTGCTGGAAGCCCATCATCATGATCCTGGGTGCCAACAGGTTCCTCCAGGTCAGCTCAGGCTGCTGTGAGGGGGAGGATTGTGCCTGCATGGATGTGCAGTGTAAGCAGTGACCCTCTCACCCAATGTGGCTGCACCCTGGCTCCCCTACCCCTGGCTCTGCTCCCGCCAGGACTCTCAGGCCACACACACCCCTCTCCAACACAAAACAAACCTTAGGTGCAGCAGATGGGTATAATGGGGAAAGGATGTGTCCATCCCCATCTTGGTATCATGGAGGGATACCAAGATGGGGGGAGTAGTAGATATGCAGGAGGGTTGGTGCTAGGATTTAGAGTGACCTTGACACACTAGAGGTTTGGGCCAAAAGAATCTCATGAGGTTCATCAAGGACAAGTGCAAAGTCCTGCACCTAGGAGGGAACAATCCCATGCACTGGTACAGGCTGGGGCTGACTGGCTGGGCAGCATCTCTGCAGAAAAGGACCTGGGGGTGACAGGGGGTAATATGCTGAATATGAGCCAGAAGTGTGATCTAGTTGCTAAGAAGGCTAATGGCATCCTCGGTTGCATTGGCGTTGCCAGCAGGTCAAGAAAACTGATTATTTCCCTCTATTCAGCAATGGGGAGGCCACATCTGGAGTCCTGTGTCCAGTTTTGGGCCTCCCACTACAGAAAGGATGTGGACAAATCCAGCAGAGGGTGACAAAAATGGTGAGGGGGCTGGGGGACATAACTTGTAAGGAAAGACTGAGGGAACTGGGCTTATTTAGTCTAGAGAAGAGGAGACTGAGGCAGGATTTAATAGCAGCATTCAAGTACATGAAGGGGGGTTCAAAAGAGGATGGAGCTGGACTGTTCTCAGTGGTGGCAGATGACAGAACAAGGAGCAAGTCTTCAGTTGCAGCAAGGGAAGTTGAGGTTGGATATTAAGAAAGCATTTCTCACTAGAAGGGTAGTTAAGCACTGGACAGGTCACCCAGAGAGGTGGTGGCATCTCCATCCTTGGAGGCTTTGAAGACCCAGGTAGACAAAGCCTTGGCTGGGATGAGATAGTTGGAGCTGGTGCTACCTTGAGCAGAGGGTGGGACTAGATGTGACCTCCTGAGGTCCGTGCCAACCCTAATTTTCTATGATTCCTCTGTCCATTATGATGGATATGATTCCTCTATCCACTGCCCTACCTTTCCATTCATAGAATCACCATATGATAGGGAAGTTGGGATGGAAGGGACCTCCTGAGGTCAAACCTAGTCCAGCCCCCTGTTCAAGGCAGGACCAGCCCTGACTTCATCCAGGGATGAAGACTCCCCGACTTCTCTGGATAGCTTGTTCCAATGCCCCCTCCCTTTTAGAGTCAGAAAGCTCTTCCCCATCACCAGCCTCAGTTTCCTCTGTTGCAGCTTGAGGCCACTGCTCCTAGTCCTGTCCCCTGCCCATCACCATTGTTTCTAATTCTCCTTCAGGGATTTGAAGGATGTGATAAAATTTGCCCTCAGGCTTCTCTTCTCCAGACTATAATCCTAGTTCATCCATCCATCCATTCCCAGAGTCCTCATGTCTAACCTTTCCCTCTAGTCTGTCCTCATGAAATGACCCTCCCACCTGCTCCCCTGACCTTTTGGTTTCCCCACCTTCCTCTCCCCCTGTACCCCAGTGAACAACACCCCCAGTGGTGATCCTGATGAGGTGGTGCACTGCACCAGAGCTGAGAATCGCTGCATGGTCTTCTCCATGGGTATGAGCAGAGGTAAATCAAGATGCCTGGGTTCTCTCCTGATACCCAACTAGAGCTGGAGCTGGAACCCAGGAGTCCTGACCAGGTGGTGAGCTGAAGTTATTACTTCATGCTATTTTTTTTCTTGATAGGAAGGGAAGGGAATTTATGGAGGTGTCCAGGTCAGCTGGGGTAGGGACCTAGTTGGCCTTAGCAAATGGAAACATGGGATCCCTGCAGCAACCAGGAAGTGGTAATTGATCAAGCTTCTCACGTTGCAACAGGACCTCGCTGTGAGTATTTCCCAAAAGGAAGGAAAGACCGAGAGGCAAGCACATGAAGTGGGAAGGGGTAACAGCCTTTTAGCAGCCTGTGATTCTCCTCCCTACTACATTCTGGCTCATGTAACCCATCCCAGAGTCACCAGTGAAGATTCGGTAAGTGATGCAACCTCCAGAGGTCTTCGGCTGTTCTGGGAGGGGACTCCCAGAGCTGGGATAGACCCCAGGAGTTCTGGCTTCCATTTCCCTTCCTCTTTACATGCTACTGCTGCCCCAGGGCTGGGAGAGAGTGCAGGCATCCTGGCTCCTAGCCCCTCAGCCTGCTCTAACTCTCTGGACTCCAGTTCCCTCCTAGAGCTAGGGATGGAACTCAGGGGTCCTGGCTCTCATGCAGCTGCCCTCTGACTGGTCCCTAGATTGGACCCTATCCTTCAGCACTCCATATCCTAAGGTGGAAGCAGAACCTAGGCATCCTGACTCTCAGCCAACCTTGCTCTAACCACTAGATGCCACTCTCCTAGCAGAACTAGCTATAGAACCCGGGCGCCTGAGCTGCCAGCCCACTCAACCCTAACCCTCTGCACCGCACACATCACCCAGAGCTGGGAGAGACCCCAGATATCTGGGCTGCCAATTGTCTCAGCTCTGGCCCACTGCTTCTCACACCTTATGGAGAGCTGAGGGAACCCAGGTGTCCTGGCAGCCAGCTCCCTCCTCCCCCACTCTAATCCACCAGACTTTACCTCATTCTGCTCCCCTCTCCTTCCCTCCCCTCCCCCCCAGAGCTGGAAACAGAACCCAGGAGTCCTGGTTCTCCAGCGGGCCTGCACTAGCCCATGAGAAAAAAAACCACTTAACGTAGCTCATGAAAGGGGAGTCCTGACTTCCTGCCCCCAGGACTGTAGCAAGAGACAGAAACCAGAAGTCCTCACTTCTACACTTCTCTAATTGCTTCTGTCATTGCTCCTCCCCATGGCAACTCAGAGAAGTAAAAAGAACCCAGGTGCCCCGAATCCCCTCTTTTAGCCCAGCTTTCACGTCCCTCCCAGGGCAGGGAGAGAACCCAGGTGTCCTGGATCCCAGCCCTCCTCTGTTCTAAGACCCTTCATGAACAGCTCAGTTCAAACTAGACCCTTTACTCACATGGGCCCAGACCTTTCCAACCCCCTGAGCTCTAATGGATCCTTTCAATTACCCACCTACACTATGGCATGGGTACCAAGAGCCACTTGGCAGGGGGCTGAGCTGAAAACAGGCATGCTCGGGTATAACTAGAGGGCTGGACTGGCATGTGTGTTCCCTGTTGGCCAGGAGGAGGTCCCTTGTGGGTGTGAAAAGGGGGTGGAGACTGATAGAGTGGAAGATGGTGGCTTTGGATGGGTGCTAGTTGTTCACTGGGGAACTCCCTGCTTCAGGGAGCTTCTCCCAGACAAGAGAGGGCTGCCAGCTCAGCTCAAAGGGCAGCATTCATGTCCCACAGTCCCCACAACTGCATCTGAGACCTCCAGTACCCACCCCCGTCGGTTCCCACAATGAAGGCTCCTGTCGCCCTTCTCCTCCTCCTCCTCCTCTTCCTTGCTGTCCTCCTGGTTGCAGGTGAGTTACGCTGCTACCTTCCACTGGGCCAAAACCCCAGTGGCTCTGAAAGGGGCCTTGGAAGGGTTGGGTCACCCCAGAGGGGTCCTATTATGAGGGTTTGCCAATCTTCTGGTGGGATTCCCAGCCACAATGGGAGGGTGACTGGGCCCCCTGAACAGGTCAAGGGGCAGGAGGGACCCTGGGAAGAACAGAGGGCTGGGCCTGGGGCTTCCAGGGTCAGGGAGGGGCTGGATCTGAGTGGAACCTTTTCTCTTTCCCTCCCCAGGGTCCAGCATGTGGTGTGAAGTTTGCAGCAGCCTGGGCACCAACTGTACAGGCCCGATTCAGAAGTGCAGTGTGGGCAACAACACCTGTGCCACCATCCTGACTGAGATTGCCTGGGGTAGGTGAGATGCATCTTAGCCGTTCCATTGGTAGGAAGAAGGTCCTGGAGGGTAGAAGTGTGTTAAACCCCTTGTCCCTGTCCTCTCTTGCAGGTGGAAACCAGACTCGGGGCATCTCAAAGGGCTGCATGCCCACAGCAGCCTGTGGCTTGGGACACTTTGTGACCCATTTCCAAGGCCGGGTCATCAACAACAGTGTCTCCTGTTGCACTGGAGCCACCTGCAAAATGGCCCTTGGGAATTGTAGGTTTTTCTCCTCCCCCAGCTCTGCTCCCTCTTTTTCCATCTCCTCTCCTTTCTATCCCCATTTCTCACCTGGTGATCACTGGCCTTATTTGAGCACCCAAGACCCTGGGCCCACAACCTGGGGTTGTTCCTACTAGACCTCAAAATGCTTGTGGAGGAAATGAACCTCCCACACTGCGTCATGGGAGGGGAGAGCTTAGCCCACCTGCCTGGCTATTCAGCTTTGCTTTGGGACACCCTTGACTTGGCCATTTTCCCTCCTCTCCTTCTGCTTGAATGGGAGCCACAACTCTATTCTCCTCCCCTCCCCTCCCCTCCCCTCCCCTTGTCCTATCATGACCCAAGCAAAGGATGCGGGTGGAAGTGAGTTGGGAAGTTATTTCCAAGGGAAATGGGCTCAGAAACACTACACGAAGCAATCTTTTTCAGCTGGGGGGAGCATGGACAGACCCTAGTGTGCCTGGGGGTGGAGCAAGGCTCAGAGGGGCAGGGCTTCTTAGTACCCTCCAACCACCAGGAGTTTGACTTTTCTGCCCTGTTCCCCATCTCTGGAGCAGACTAGGGCTGGAGAACCCAGTGCCAGCCATGCTGGTGGGGCCCTGAGTCCTGAAACCCCAGGGAGCTTCTACTGTAGAAGGGGTTGGATAACAGAGCACTCTGGGACTCTCGAGGACCTTTGGGGGTCCCTTGTCCCCATTTGCACATACCAAGAAGTGAATAGCTTCACCCTAGTACCTCGTTTCCAGAGGAGCCATGTTGGAGCTGCTTTTGGAAGGTTTCAAAGGGCCTGTACCTCTGTACAGCTAAGTACAAGTCCTAAGCAGGTTGGGTTTTTGGGGTTTTTTTTTACCTGTAATCCTCCATTCCCCACCTGGAAGTACTCAGTTATCCATCTGCTCCCCAGCTTCCTTGTAGGTTCTCTTTGCTTCCTCCCTGCAGAGATAAAACTCTGGTTGTGTTGGGAGAGGGAGCATGGGATGAGTCCTCCAGTCCTGAAGGAGGTGCTCCACTGAATATCACTGGGTCCCTGGGAAGAGGTCTCCAGTGCTGTAGAGGGAACCCTACTCACTGTAATTGGCTCCCTGCAGTGGGTGGGATTATGCAAATAAAGATATCTTCCCCCCAGCTAATTGCACCTAGGGTAGATTTTGTGACCAACCTCCCCTACTGCCCCCAGCAATTCTAGAGCCACAGCACCCCCTGCACCCATGTATGGGGATGCATTCTCCATCCCCAACCCCAATGGTTGTGTTTGTTTTCAGTGTCCCTTGAGAATGACACCCAGAATAACTTCCAGTGCCCTGCCTGTTCTTCATCCTCCCCTGACTGCCTTGACCGTTCCATCAAGTGTGTCAGGAATGAGAACCAATGCCTGGAGATGAAACAGGAGGAAATAAGTGGTAAGTTCCAAGGCTTGGGTTTGTGTGCATGATGTCCTCTTTGTACTCTTCCCTCACTAGGACTGTGGTAAGTCATGGGGCGCTACTGGGATTCTCTACCCATCCCAGTGCCTTCCCCACCTCCAGATGACCTAAACTGATCAATCTATAACCATCAATAAGGAGTTTCTGGATGATGGCACTGAATGAGGGTGGTAGGAAGGGTCAGTGAAGAGGACACATGTCTGTACTTCTCAGGCCTGGACCTAGGGGAGTTTCCCTGGACATACTGTTACTTAAAATTGCCAATAGCTCAAAATAAGAGCGAGACCTTAAAAATGGGGATAAGGCAAAATGCCACGTTTATTGATTACATGAAGCAGATACATAAACTTGGACACACCAGTCATACAAACAGAAATACACAAGGATACGTATGAACAGACATACAGACAAACCACTCCAGTAAGATGTTATAGTTACCAGCAGAAGTTAGCACTGGATGGCCAATCCAGAATGAGTGGGGGTATACAGGCACCTGTACTCCAGGAGGTTGCAAAGAGTGGATTCCCCATCTTGACTTGTCTGCATCCCATTTTTATAGGGATTTCAAGTCTTTGTTCAGCATTGGGGTTTTTCCCTGCTCAGTTTTTAATTAGAGGTTTCTTCTCGTTATCTCAACTTGAGGTCATTCCAGTAAAGTTGGTTATCTTGGCTGAGGTCATTCCAGTAAAGTTGGTTATATCCGCTGAGGTCCTTTCCAGTAAAGTTGGTTATCTCCACTGAGGCTTTGTGTCCTTGATCTTGAAGCACTGTATAGTTCAAATGGCAGAATATGCAAAATTCCTTCTTCTTACTATCTTCTTTGCACCTGATCACAGACGAGTTCTTCAGCCATCCATTAATTAGTTTACTGTCTGGTAACTTATACATTGATGCCTTGCTGCTTACACAATCAATTAAATCTTCTGTTTTCATGCAAATAATTACCATTCTTTCACCATTCACCCACTCACACAGACACTCATGTACACAGGGCGTAAGAAGTTCATCTACTCATGTCAAGCAAGCACAAAATGGAGCTTTAGTTGTTCATAAAATCATAGAGGTTTATCAATTCAATACTATTATCATTTAAGCATAAAAACTAATATGCAAAAAATCATACTACAATACCTTGCTCTGGAAATGGGTTGAGATATGAAGCAGCAGCAGGAGGGGAGATCTAGTCCAGCCCCCTGCTCAAGGCAGGACCATCCCAGTCTAAAACATCCCAGCCAAGTGTCTGTCCAACCTGCTCTTGAATGTTTCCAGGGATGGAGAGGCCATCTCTCTGGAAAGCCTGTTCCACTGCTTGACCACCCTCCAAACATTCCTCCTCATCTCTACCTTCAGCTGCAGTTTGAGCCCATTGCTCCTACTCCTGTCCCCTATGGCCACAGGGAAAAGCCCATCTCCATCCTTTCTATTATAATTGTCCTTCAGGTCTTTGAAGTGTGATCAAATCTCCTTGGTCTTCTCTTCTCTTCTCTTCTCTTCTCTTCTCTTCTCTTCTCCAGACTAACTAATCTTTCAGACTTTCCTCCTCAGTCCTGTTTCCCAAATCATTTTGGTCCCTCTCCATTGGACTTTTTCTAGACTGTCTCTATCCTTCTTGAGGAAAGATGTACCCCTTGCATTGCTAGATGAGTGTCAAGATGTAAAAATTGCATGGTGGCAGCTTCTACCAGTATTGTTTCACTCTGAAACACCTGAAAGGTATTTCTGTACCATGGAGATCCTAACCCAGAATGCCCCACGTGAAGGTCAGTGTTCTTGGGTCATTCTTTCCATTGGGATAGTGGTGAGTAATTTTGCCCAACAACCTAGTTAGTGATTGCCAAGGAAGTGGGAGATACTGGTTTCATTCCCACCTCAACAAGAGGAAGTTCAAAGCTCTTTCTCGGGCCTTCCAAGAGAGCACCCAGACCCCAAGGTCAAGGGGACTGGATACAGGCAAGGAGGGAGGTAGTTCTCAGCACTCATGAACCCTGGTCAGGGCTGCCAACCCAAAGAAAACTATTTTTACTGATAATCTGCAAACTTTTTACTGACAATCAAACTTTTTATGATGTTTTTTCTTAAATATGTCCTTCCCCAGTGCCTGTCACTGCCCGAGGCTGTACAGCTCTGCTTGCCTTTGATTTCAGGCAGCTGTAGCACATGGCTAGGGGAAAGAAGGGGGTATGGAAGCTCCCATGAGACACAAAGCCCTGACAGTGAGCTCTCTGCAGGATGCCAAGATGGGCTCCTGTTCAGCTACAAGGTGGTGCTGCTCTGTTCTCTCTACCCATCAAGCCTTGCATCCAGCTTTCAATCAAAGTCACGGTTTCTTAGTTTATGGTCTTTATGGGCTACCTTTTTTTAGCCTTTTTTAGAGTGGTCATAAATTTATGGATACTTGGCAACCTCAGCCCTGATTCCCTCTGCTCTTCCCATGACTTTCAGAAAACCCACCAATCAACACGACCATCTGGGCCTGTGTGACTGAAGCCACCTGTGTTGACTTGCAAGTGAGCCCAACGATTTTTGGAGGACGTGGTAAATACAGAACTGTAACCAAATGTATCCCAGCCAGCAGTGTGGGCAGCATGGGACCACTGAGCCTTCTGCTCCCAGCCCTCACTGGGTTGCTCCTGGCAAAGCTCCTCTCCTGAACCTCACCCCAGGGAACCTTGACACCACACTGAGCCCTGCTTTGTGGATGGCCTTCCCTGTCCAGTGCTCTCAGGCTCCACATGGGTTTGCTTCCACCTTCATTTGTTCCAGGAAATAAAACAAATTATGAGAGAACTCTTCTGGGATGATTGGTTTCTGTTTGGGTGTAGAAGGGACCGTATTTTCATGGGGAGATGTTAGTTCTGGTAGGTGGCGCCAGCTTCATGACTTGGAGCCCTGCAGTGGTGGCATTTGGCAGCACTGTGTGGGAGCTCCAGAGCTCAGGAGACTCCCAGGGTTTGGAGGGGGGGGGCTATGTCCATGGTCATTAGTCCATGTGTGGGGCCAGGACAGCCACTCAGGGTCCCCCATCTTCCACCCCAGGTATGAGGGCTGCAGGAAGCATATCCCACCCCTGTCTTCCTCCCACCTTGCTCACATGGAGGGTCTAGCATAGTAGAGAATGTGGAACTGGGAACCAGGATTCCTTGGTTCTCTCCCTGGCTTGAGGAGCATTTGGCGTCCTGTTTGGTTCTCCCCATCCCATCCACCCCAATCTGCCAGGATTCCCTCACCTCCCTGCCTCCACTGCTCAGATGCTTGTGGTCCTGTTGGAGGTTGGTGCCCAGCTGATCCCTCTGAGACAACACTCCTCTTGTTTCCAGTGCATCCTTATTGCTTCCTCTTCCTGGACCCACCTGCCCTGAGCTTAGCTTGTTGAGTAGAGAAATGCTCATTTATCAGCTGCTGTGTTGCAAACTCCTGGGGGGGAGAGAGAGCACTGAGTTTATGAAACCTCTGCTCTGGGGAGTAAGGGCTTCCATAGATGAGTTTCATGCTAGGATGAAGTGGAATTTGATCTCCCTTTCAGCCAGGAGCCAGGCCTGGGCCAATGAAGAGGCAAGACATCCTTGAGGGACTGATGAGCCTGAGATTGGGACTCCACATGGGTGCCCACCTCCGGTGAGGTCTGGGTTGCTAGTGAACCCCAAGTTGGTGCCTTGAGTGGGATCTAGGGTCTCTCTGCTTTCCAGCCCCATGTTTACAACCCTGGTCAGTCTCATGGTGGCCATTGGATGTGAAAATTATAATAATATCAATTTCCTTGAGCATGACCCCTACACTTCAGCTAACTCTATCTCCACCACACCTGATCTTCTATCCCACTAGACTCCACTCCCCTCCTAGAGCTAGGGTCAGATCCAGGCTCCCAACCCCTCCTACTCAAAACCCACCGGACCCCACTCCCTTCATAAGAACATAAGACCTGCCACGTACTGGGTCAGACTCCAGGTCCATCTTGCCCAGTCTCCTGTGTCAAGTGGTGGAGGTTGGAAGGGAGAATGACCTGGGTCTGACTAGGGCTTTTCCTCTCTCACTTGTAGCCTTCAGCATTTAAGGTCCAGGCAGTTCTGAATCACAGGCTGTGCCCCTCCCTCCCCTGCTCAGTAGCTATCAATGCCCCATTCCTCCAAGAGTGGGTCCGATCCCTGTTTGGAGCTAACTTAACTAACTCTCACCTTTTACCACGTCTGGTGGCCATGAGCTCCACCCTTCCTCGTGTGGATTGTAAACTCGCCACCTGCTGGTTTCATGCTGTGACCCCTTGTTCTTGCGTGGTGAGATACAGTCAATAAATCCCTGTTGACTTTCTCTCCCCCATTTAGTATTTTATAAACCTTTATCCTGCCCCGCCTTCAACCATCTCTTCTCTAAATGGAAGGGGCTTGGCCTCTCCCTGAAATGAGGGATAGTTTCTAGTAGTTCAGGCTTTCCACCCCCAGCCCTACCTGCTCGTTTCTCCCCAGGGCTGGGATGGGACCCAGGTCTTCTGGCTCCCAACCCCTCCTCCTCAAAAACCCATTAGATATCACCCCTTTCCAAGAGCTGTGAGAGAGAACCCAGCACCCAATACCCCATCCATCTTCCCCCATTCCCCGGATACAGATGTGCAAATGCCACTACATGCTTCCTTTTTTCACCAGCAGATGCCTGCTCCCAGGGACTAAAGAGCTGTCATCACCCATTAATAGCCCATCCTTTCCACAGTGAGTTTTGTGCCTCTGTGATCCTTCTTTTCTGTTTCCAGCTGGCACAGCTGTGCCTCAGAGGGCCCCCAGCATCATTCAAGACTTGGCTTTCATGATGAAGGCTCCTGTCACCTTCCTCTTCCTCCTTGCTGCTCCCCTGGATGTAGGTAAGTCCAATGGTTTCTCCAATTATTCTTTGTTGTGCCTCCAATCTAACCTTTCTATATGGTCTGCTCACAATATTCTGCACAGGCTTCTCCACTGAAGCTCAGTTAAGGCCAAGGCCCCAGTGTGTGTCAGCAGCTCCTGGCTGCATGTAGGGACCCAGTGGGCACAGCTACATGTTCCTCTTTTAAGTGGGCTTAATCTAAAATCACCATTTTAAAGGTGCATTAAGGGCACATGTCTATATGAGCTCATCCTTAATGTGCCTTAAAAATGGTGATTTAAGGCTATGTGGGTCTAAATTTGCCTGCTTGAAGCAGATATCAAATTGAGGTGCAAATAGCTAAGTAGCATTAGTGCATGTGTAGACACACTAATGTTAATTAACTTGGTGTGCGCTAATGGATACACATCACATGGATGCACATTAGCATTTCTACATGTGCAGTGATGTGGATTAGCTATTCACACCTAGATTTAATGCACCTTAATGTGCATTAGCACTTCCACGTGTAGAGACATGCCTAAATTGCCTTAATGTACCTTAAGCAAAGGCTCATTAAGTTGAGGTACACATAAATACAGGTGTAGACACACCCAGTGTGATTTGCTCAGCTGGGGACCTGCTATGAAGGTTGAAAAACCTTTGGGGTATTTCAAACCACAGTGTGAGGATGGCTGGGCCTCCTGAGCAGAACAAAGGGCAGGAGGGAGGGCAGAGGCCTTGGATACAGGACTTGACCTGGACCTTCCAGATCCTGATGGACCCTTTTGTCTCCCCCTCTCCAAGAACCGGCCTGGAGTGTGAGGATTGTGCTGATCTAGGCAAGAGCTGCTCAGCTTCTGTGAGGACCTGTCCACCTGGATTTGAGGCTTGTAGTATCTCTCTGACAGAAATTTAGGTTAGATTAATTGCCAACCAGCAAGGTCTGGTGGCTGGGATGGAGGTGTAGGACCAAAATGGATTCTGTCCCTGGATCTGGAAGGGCTTGGGGTAGGGAATGTGGGTCCAGGACCCAGGACTCCTGAGTTCTATTCCTGGCTTTGGAAAGGATTGAGATCTAGCAGGGTAGAGAATTTGGAGCGGAGAACCAGGACATCTGGGTTCTATCACAAGTTTGGGAAACTGGTGGAGAATTTTTGTTTATAGTCATAGAATTTTCATCAGCGACTTGGACAAGGGGGTGGAAAGCACGCTGTCCAAGTTTGCTCATGACACTAAGATGTGGGGCGAGGTGGACACACTTGAAGGGAGAGAGAGGCTGCAAATAGATTTAGACAGACTACAAAAGTGGGCAGACGAGAATAGGATGGGGTTCAATGTAGACAAATGCAGGGTGCTGCACCTGGGGAGAAGGGATCCACAGCATACATACAGGCTGGGGAGTTCCCTTCTTGAAAGCACAGAGGCGGAAAGGGATCTCGGAGTCATTATTGACTCCAAGATGAACAAGAGCTGCCAATGCCAGACCGCAGCCAGCAAGGCCAGCCATACCTTGTCATGCATCCAAAGGTGCAACTCAAGCTGGCCCAG